GACCAGAGACTGCGGACAGCACAGGGATGACCAGAGACTGCGGACAGCACAGGGATGACCAGAGACTGCGGACAGCACAGGGATGACTGCTGACCTTTGGGGAGGGAGGGGGAGCGGGTACCTGAATTTGACAGGTACCCGCTCTTACTTCCGCAGAGTTTTTTTTTTTATCTTACCTGTTCCTTTATCCAGCCGCGCGTTGTCTTCCCGGCTTCTGTAGTGTGGGGCGCTCGTCGGACAGCCGGATGCCCAGTGCGCATGCCGAGAAGCGCTGCGCTTTGTGATTGGTCCGGCGGCTTCTGGGATCTGTCATGTGTCCCAGGTACTGCCTTACCATTCACAAAGAGCACTGCTTCTTGTGCATGCGCACTTGGGACCCGGCTGTCACGCACACTACAGCCGGGAAGACAGCGCGCCGCTGGATTCTCCTGGCGTGCCCACAGATAAGGCTCGGCGTGCTGGCTGTGGCACGCGTGCCACGGGTTCGCCATCACTGTACTAGGCTGATGGTGCTCAACAGTTCACCAGAATGTAGAGCGGCACTATTACTGGCACTCTGCTGCATATGAGAGTCATCATGCGTTTGGAACATCTCAGCAACATGGGTATGCCTGATCTTAGCAGGGACCTCTTCTCCATCATCTGAGCTATCTGTCAGGGTACCGCTGCTGTCTACAGGTTTGTATTCTGAGGCTGATTGTGTCAGGAAGTCTTCCCCTTCGCTCTCATCTGACATGCTCAGAATCCTGTAGGCATCTTCATTAGAGTACCTTTCCATTGACATTTTGGCCACTAAATTTATAGGTACCTAGTGCAACTCACGGAAAACCTGGCTGTTAGGGGTTGCTTGAACTGCTACAAAAAAGTATACCAGCAAATGCTAACAGAGATCAGGCCTGATTCTGCGAACACCGCAGTTTTGTGTGCAAAGTATCAAGTGATGGTGACCTACTGACACTACACTTGCTGTGGGAGAAGGGGGGGTAAGCGTAGGGGCTAAATGCAGGTGCTGGCAGGTTCAACTGATCCCACTAACGCTGTGTTTTTTGGAGACACTATACTAATGTGAACGCTGGTATAGTGCTGATCTGATCAAAGATATTGATCCATTCAGACACTATACTGGCAATGAAGGTTTATTGTGTATGTGAGTGTGTTCCTGGCAATCAAGGGGTTAAATGTGATTACTGGCATACTGACGGGCAATCTGACGCTATCTGGGAGGGCCGCGAAAACTGCGAGAGCGTGAATCACATGTGTGTGTATATATATATATATATATATATATATATATATATATATATATATGTGTGATTTTGAGCACCCGTGCCTCCCTGTAGCAGTATTTCTACTATATGTCTTTGCTAAAAAAAAAATGCATTGGTTTACGTGAAAGTTATAGCATTTACAAATGGGGGTATAGATACTGGAATTTTTTTAACTTTTTTACTAATAATGGCAGCGATCAGAGCTGGACTGCAGGACTGTGGTGGGCATTCTGACACTGGGGGGAACTGACTTGGTGTCACTGACATCCCCAGTGACAGCAATACAGTGATCAGTGCAAAAAAAACACTGATACTGTACTAATGGTACTAGGCAGGAAGGGGTTAGCATGAGGGGCGATCAAAAGGTTAACTGTGGGCTGGGAGTGTTTTACTAGGGGGCGGGGGGGGTGTGTGCTTCACTGTAAGCACACTGCTCTGGGTGGCTGTGCACAGCCATCTAGAGCAGTATGCCCAAACTGACAGTAAACAAAGCAGCCCTCCTCCCCGTCAGTGATTGTTGGTAATCACCGGGCACCAGCAGGTAATCAGCGGCCGGGACCCGGTGCTTGACAGCCGCAGTCACGAATGGCAGCGAACCACGTATCTATACATGATTTTGTGCACCCGTGTCACTCTGTAGCAGTATTTCTACTATAGAGCGGCGCTGAATCGGTTCATGGTGACAAACGTGGACCACTTATAGTCCCCACCAGAGGCCAATGTGACAGGGTGAAGGGTGATGCAGGTGCACAGTTAGGAGACAGGGACAGAGCATTGTTTTCCTATAATAGGAAGTGCCTGTACAAAGACCTTCATTGCAGGGTCATCAGGTAATAATTTATTAAAAGCTACAGATCAAAAAATATTAAATATAAGTTTTGACATTGCATTACCATTTAAACTTTACATAAGATTTTAGTAATTGGGTTTACATATAATTGCTTGTAACTAATTATAATGACTACTTACATTGTAACTGCAAATGGGTAATGTTGCAGTAAAAAATGTTTGCTTTTACTTACCTAAAGGGTTGAACTTGCAATCTGCTCATAAGGTAACTCTGTACAGTATGTGCTGAAGCTGGGTACACACAGTTAATGTTTTTTGTTTTCATACAAAGGGGGGAAAAAACAGATTCCTGCATCCACATGAGTGAGGTATATGGAGGAATCTCCCCTGCTGTGCTATTGCATTCTGACAGCGGGGACCATTCAACAGAAGCTGATCTAACGATCAGCTTCTGTTGAGTAGGGAGGGCCACACATATCAAAATTCATCTGGTCCCTGAGAGGCTGATTTTCGTTCTGTGTGTACCAGCTTAAAAAGGACCCACAATCACGTTTCCCACACCTACTGAACAATCTTAAGAAAGTGGGCAGCACAGTGGCTAAATGGTTAGCACTTCTGCCTGGCAGTACTAGGGTTGCTGGTTCAAATCCCAACCACGGCACCACCTGCCTGGAGTTTGCATGTTCTCCGTGTGCCTGCGTGGGTTTCCTCCCACACTCCAAAGACATGCTGGTAGGTTAATTGGCTACATTGGCCCTAGTATGTGTATGAATGTGAGTTGGGGACCTTAGATTGTACACCCCTTGAGGGTTAGGGACTGAGGTGAATGTACAATATATATGTAAAGTGCTGCATAAATTGACAGCGCTATAGAAGTACCTGAAATAAATAATAATAAGAAAGAAAGCATCAAATGGTATATTATATTCTCACTAGGTGCTTGTGCTTCCCTCTGTGTTTTTGGTGCATTTTTGCAGCACGTCCGAGTGTGTTTTTGATGTATTTGTAATGAGATTTTTATGTGTTTTCATGATTTTATGGTTTTGGCCAATGGTAAGCTATGAAAGTTTATTTTGTATAGTGACAATTGAGCAAAGATGCTTGTATACAGAAATGTCATTTAAATAAGCATACATTAGCATGTGCAATAAAGCCATTTCCAGAAGACACTACCATTTGCTTGCTCTCTGTGTTGTCAAGTAACTGTCCCAATCATTACACTTAATGGGCAATATTCTACCATGCCCCACATGCTTTGTAGGTGTTGTTGGATGGGTCAAAGAGAAAAGGTCTTACTCTCACCATCCAAAAGAGCTCTTCTGTATCAAACATGGCTTTCTCACTCCCTTGTTATGTGTAGCCTGTAGAATAGGGAATGCGGAACCAAAGGAAGCGCTTGCACCTCTTTCAAAACACACTGCAAGAAAGCACGTAAGTGTAAACAGCCCCATAGAACAGAATCAGAAATGGCTTGTCATGCATTGTTGTGCTTCAGCAAATGCACAACAAATTGAATAGGTGTGAATGCAGCCTTAAGCATTTTCCCAGTAAAATACCAGTTTCTACAGTATTTTCTAGGTGCTGGAGACGAGTAAGTGGTGCAGGATGCTTAAAATATATAGGTTAGGCAGCTTTTTGGGTATGCTTTTGTAACAAAAATCATATATAAACAAAATAATCAGTAGAAAATGATTCAAGATATTTGCTTTTTTGCATCAGTCTTGCATTCTCTCTTCAAAATAGTAAGTCATAAGTAATAAATAACACCCTAAGCTACATATCATCATATTTGGCTTCTAGGGATAATGTTCATTACAAATGATTTATGTTTCCTCTTTTATGTATGTGTGTGTGTGTGTTTGTGTGTGTGTTTTTATTACAGTCCATAAGCAATCCATCTTTGGGATAAAAACATGTAAACTATTTATGTATTAAAGTATACTTTACAGAGGATCTCTCCTCTCCCTGCTTGTCAGGCATAATGTTCATCTGTTGGACAGATGGTGATAGATGTAGAATGGCAAGGCTTTTTAAGCCACTGTAATATTATCAAGGAATTACTTGAAAGAAGAACAGTGAAAAGGAATCATTAAAAGTTAATAACGAAACACTAACGATTACTTGCGTAAGCAATGACTTTGGCATGGCAGGCAAATTATGAGAAGTTATTGTCAGTAAGAAAGTTTGGAACTTCATTAACTGGACATTATACTCAGAATAATTATACTCAGTGGAATTGTCATGTATGAGAAATGCTTTGCTCAGAAATGATTGTCTCTTTCAGTGAACCAAGTGTTTTACCATATTTCTTTGCAGTTTGTTCATATGGTGTTTATGTGCTGTTGCTGTCAGTGACCAGTATTTCATTTTAGCTTTACTGGAAGGTAATGGTTGTCCAGTCTTTATGGTAGTACATACAGTTATTCATATTATGAATAGACAAAGAAATACTGACTTCTATCACACACACTTGCTATATTCCAATAGATGAGTTTAATTCAGGGTCATTGTCACTCTGCTAATAAGGGTTTTGAGTGGCGCTCCTGAAGGTTCAGTTACTAGCTGCCTTTGTAAAATTCTTTGGTATTCCTGGCTTTATGCAAAGCAATGATATTGCCTATATCACCAACCCTCTACTGGATACTCCATAGTACATACAGAATCCAGCATAGTTTAAATATCTAACTGCTATTGATTTCTGAGTTGTCTCTATACTGACACAATTACTGATTTGTTTTAAAGTCAAGCAAGGTTTATCATGGTTGCATATCATTGAGAAACGGGGATCAGCAGTTGTGGTTTTAAGGAATATGTCTCTAAAGCAGATACTTTACCTTTTTTTTTTTGTTCTATTTGATATTTTTATTTAACCGCCTCCCGCCCACCATATAGTACAATGACAGGCGCAAGGCAGTTCTCTTGTTCTGGGAGGACGTCATATGATGTCCTTCCATTCTAACCGCGCATGCACGGCTCCGGGAGCGCTCAGCACGGCAATCGGCAGTGCGCTGTGTCACAGTGGATCACCAATCAATGGAAAGAGCCAAAGATGTCGGCTCAGTCATGTGATCAGCTGTGTCCAATCACAGCCAATCGTGTGTAAATAGGGAAATGCCGGTTATCGGCATTTCTCCCCACACAAGCTGTCACGCTGACAGCTCGAGAGGAGAGGAGAGCCGGTAATCGGCATCCCTCAGAGGGGACATGTACACTGATCATCAGGGCACTGATGATCAGTGTGCCCTGATGATCTCTGTAGCCCCAGCAGTGCCACCTGTCAGTGTTCATCAGTGCCAGCTGTCGGTGCTCATTCATGCCACCTGCCAGTGCCACATCAATGCCACATATCAGTGCCTACCAGTGCACATCAATGCCCATCTGAGCTGCCTTTCAGTGTCACCCATCAGTGCCAGTCAGTGCCACCTATCAATGCCAGTCAGTGCCACCTATCAGTGCTGCCAATCAGTGCCGCCAGTCAGTGCCGCCTATACGTGTGCATCAGTACCACCTAACAGTGCCAGTCCGTGCCACCTAACAGTGCCAGTCAGTGCCGCCTATCAGTGCCACCTATCAGTGCCATATATGAGTGCTGCCTTTCAGTGCCCATCAGTGATGCCTGTCAATGCCCATCAGTGCCACCTACCAGTGCCTCCCCATCAGTGCCACCTATCAGTGTCCATCAGTGCAGCCTATCAGTGCTCATCACTGCAGCCTCATTAGTGCACATCAGTGAAGGAGAAAAATCACTTATTTACAAAATTTTATAACAAAAACTAAGAAATAACTTTATTTTTTCAAAATTTTCAGTGGTTTTTGGTTTGTTTAAGAAAAAATAAAAAACCCAGAGGTGATTAAATACCACCAAAATAAAGCTCTATCTGTCACAAAAAAATGATAAAAATTTAATATGGGTACAGCGTTGCATGACCGCACAATTGTCATTCAAAGTGCAACAGCGCTGAAAGCTGGAAATTGGCCTGGGCAGGGAGGGGGTATAAGTGCCCTGTAGGCTAGTAGTTGAAAGCAACGAAAATCACAATTACTGTATTAACATAACATTGTTTTATGTTAGGAAAATGTATAGCTTCTTCAGATTGATTGTAAGCCTCTCTGTGGATTTTTTGAAGTGCTATCTTCAGATGCCTTGGTGTGCCCTGATGTTTACCTATATTATGTAGGGTTTACTACCTCAGGCAGGCTCTAACAACAACAAAATATAACTTTCATTTCCCAATTGACAGATACTGTATTAAAGTGGTAGCTCAGTGTGAGGCTCATATTCACAAGACTTTTTATGTATCAAGCTAGCATCTCCATCTTACCACTCATGGAAAACTACTTGCGGATGGCTTTTTAATTATGGGGCTACTCCATTAGTCCCACATTACCTTTGCTGACAGAAATTTGCTATTACTCATTTCCTCAATTGTTGTGCCCAGGGGCGGACTGACAACTCATGGGGCCCCCGGGCAATAGGGATCATGGGGCCCCTGTGTCCTTGCCCAAACGTAAAAAAGCCTATGAAAAAGGTATCAGGGGCATCTCATGGGACCCCCTACTGACCTCGGGCCCTCGGGCAGTGCCTGAGTTTCCAAATGGTCAGTCCGCCCCTGCTTGTGCCCATATGACACCATTCAAATATCCTTGTTTTTGGTCCCTGTTGTGCAGATTTGCACCCACTATGGGGGTTATTTACTAAAGCTGGAGACTGCAAAATCTGGTGCACCTCTGCATAGAAATCAATCAGCTTCCAAGTTTTGTTGCCAAAGCTTAATTGAACAAGCTGAAGTTAGAAGCTGATTGGGTACCATGCAAGCGTCACCAGGTTCTGCGTGCACCATTTTTAGTAATGTAATCTCCCCCTATTTGTCCTAATGATCATTGTCAAGGGAACTGAAAGTGATAGGAAATCTTGAAAGGACCTTTGTTTTAGTAATAGTTGTCTAAGAAGAAATGATTTGGACAGATCTCCTCTAATTTTCTGTTGTGCCTCAAAACAAAAGTGAAGCTGGCTATAGGTGTATCGAAATCCAACTGGTTCAAAAGGGAACTGTTGAATTTTGTTCTGTTTTTGGCCCTACCCATTTGACAGAAGTCAAATTAACAAGTTGGAAGGTTTGTCGATCAGCAGTTACAGTCACTGATCAGTGTATTTTGACAGCACCAAGTACTGTTATTAGAACATAATGTCCCTGTGGGGGGGAGATTCCTTCATCCACTTTGTTTGTCTGGATGGATGGATGAATATGTTAATTTTTTTTCTTTCTTTTGTCTTCAGCCCACTGGCTGAATAAAAAAAAAAGAACCATCTATGACTAGCTAATGGAACATCTTCCTAATTTTACACATAAGAAGAAAACACTTGGCAGATGTTTTATCAATTCAACATGATATCTAAAACAAGAAGATGTTTTGGGCTTGGATATACTTTAACCTCTCTAAATCCTAACCCTAAGACTGAAACTTTAAGTAATCATGCTAAGCTCTGAGTGTGACACCAATATAACACATCACTCTTAGACTAACCCTCTAATATTAAAGCTCTTCCGATTTATTGTTATTGGGTCCTATGTTCAAAGCAGCCATGCTAAGTCCTCAATACTAAGCACTTAAAGATACTTCCGCTAAGCTGTGAGTACTAAGAACTACTGTCTTGGGTTTCCCACAGACCAAGTAAAAGTTGTCATCTCTCTCCTGTCCAGGGAGTTATTAGATTTGGCAAGCTTCAGTTGGTCTTCCACCCTTTATGAAAAGAGTGAACATATTCCCAAAAACTTGTCCCTGTTCTTGTAATTTTTTGTAAAGATTTGGCTAACATGATTACACTTCCACTGTGATTTCCCATGTCATAGAGGTATGTTAAGCTTGCCTCTTTAATTTCAGGGAGAGTTTCCAGAATTGCCTACATTTTCCTTGCTCCTAGCATTGAGAATGCACTAATTTAACAGGAACCTATGCAAGTGTCACAGTCTAGATATTCAGAAGTGAAGTACCTACACTCACTAAGAATCGTATTCCAGGCTGTGAAGCACAAACTTCTGGGTTTGCCTTGGCAATGCTTTCACATTTCAGTAGCAGATATGATTTACAGAGACATTCTGTCTTGGCACCACTTGATTCAGTATTACATACAGAAGGTCACCCCACCTTGTGTTTTGTTGCAGAAACTTCTCTGTTGCTAAGATGCAAAATGCAACTTTTCAAATGAAATCAGCAAGAAACAGGCTGAAAAGCTGCCACCCCATTTCCTATATGATTGTAGCATAAAATATGCCTCCTGAGCTAGTGTCACGTTCTTTTTTGGTGAACTGTAGGATGGCAGCCTTGAACCATGCATCAATTTTATATGTATAATTTGAGTAAGAGATTAATGCAAACAAATACTTTTCAATTACTTTTTAAACTGTTTGATGATTTGCAAGAGACCATCATCTTCCCTAAGCTTTAACCCCTTTGCTGTTGCTATTATAAGTATTAAGTTGGCTATACACTGCTAAGCTGTTTTTGTTCAGTCCACAGGCTGAATGAAAAAACAGATTCCTCTATCTAAACAAATAAAGCTGATGGGAGGAACCTCCAAGGTGGGATATTGTATTCTAACAACTGCCCCTGTTGCTGTCAGAATTCACTAATCAATGGCTTCAGCAGATTGGCTGCAGTTGCTGACTGCAAAAAGTTTTCAAACATACTGTATTTCTTTAACAGAGGTGGATCAAAATGGTTGACTTAAGCTGAGAAGGGACTGCTACACACTGGTCTAAAATTGTCTGGTCCCTGTTGAATTTTGATTTGTGTATGGCCAGTTGTACAGTGACAGCTGTACCAGCATGTATGCAGACCCTGGGGCTTACTTGCTCGCACAGCATGAGCCTGATATCATTTTTTTTCAGGTAGCAGCAGCCTGCTTTTCAGTAAAAGTGTTCAGAATGACTATAAAGCCACCCAATCACTTTTACTGTACTTGACAGTTCCACCCCTCAACATGTACATTATCCCTTATGGCTCTTAACTTACAGTGATTGTTCAGGGCCTCAATTTACTAATAAAGCTGGTTACAGTATTAAAATGTGTACATTCTCATAACATACGCATTGCAAGAGATTAATATTCAAACAGGCTTTACTCCCAAAAACGTTGACTTTGGCTGTGTCAAGCAAACTATTATAAGCTTAAATAAATTAAAGATATTTTTACGAAGGGGCAAACTTCCGCATACTGATGTTACAATACTTACCTATTCTGCTCCCAATTCCTAAAGACATGATTTGTAGCTCATATATTCTCTCAGAGCAACATCAAACCCCATCATTTTCATTCCAGAACAGATCTTAGATTTTTCCAGATTTATTTTTTAATATGTCAGACCTTTCTTGTGAGTATATCTGTCAGTGCTCTGGTCAGACCATGATCCAGTTGTGATTTGTTGCTCATCTCTGAGCCCTAAACCTGTAGTTTCCTTGTGGGTGCTCAATGATTTGTTAGGCCACATTCACACAGTCGGCTATATGAGATCATCAGATTCTGTCTGTGTCCCCGTTAGGCAGTTTTTGAAAGTGAAAGAAAAGGAAAATCCTAAATTTTGGGTTGTCCCCAGAAAAGAAATAGATTGTAAATCTTCCAATGGGGACACTAGTTCTGTTGGCCCGGGAGGCCCCAAGGGATTCCCTTAATTTGCAGGATTTCTCACTTCCTGTTTTGGCTAAGGGACAGGAAGCAAAGAGAAATCTCCTCAATGGGACACAGATAGAAAAAAACTGACAAGGGTTATAACCCTCCCTTTATTCTCTCCAAAATTAAAAACAAAGTTTTGCCTTTAACTCTACTTTATATATAGTCCTAAAAATAATTCACACTAAAAAATATCACCCAATGACTCAATACTCAAATGGGTCAGTTAATCCATTGTGTTCAAACTTTTTTCATACCTTTGAGAGTATGTAAGTAAGTGAAAACATCTGCAAAAATGCTTAATTTTTTTTTTTTATAATTAACTTTTTATTGATTTTTGAACATTTACAACAAACAGAGTTGCATAGAAACACAGTATAACAAACACAGAGCAGCAAAAGGACAGAGAAATAGGCTCATCAATGAGAGGTATATGGATACATACAATGTCAATACATAACAGTGAATTAGCAATCATTTTCAGACAATTGAGTAGACAAGTCGGAATTGGAAGTATCCCATGGTTCCCAGACTGCTTCAAAAGTGGGAACAGAGTTAGCATGCAAGGCAGTGAGGTTTTCTAATTTCTGCTATAACCTTCATCAATTCCGATAGCGTAGGTGGCGTAGTAGAAAGCCAGTGCATGGGAATGGTTCTCCTGACCGCCGTTAAAATGTTGGAGGAAAGTTTCTTTTACAGAAGTAGCCATATTAGGTCAAGGACCTCTCTCCAAAAGGGAGTAATGTACTGGCAAGTCCAAAAAATGTGGAAAAGAGTGCCGGTTTCCTCGCCACAACGCCAGCAGACAGTAGGAACATTCGGGTTACAAGCACGGAGAACCTCAGGAGTCCTATACCAAAACATCAGAATTTTATAAGTGTTTTCTTTATATACTACACCTATAGAAGATCTGGAGGAGGCCTCCCAAATCCTGCTCCATTGATTCAAGGCAATGTCACACTGGAGGATTTGGGGCCATTTATACATATAAAGTTGGGTATCAATAGAAAGGGGGCTGGTGTCTAAAAGCAGCTTATACGTAGAGGAAATTATGCCCTGTTGGTATGGGCCTTGGATGCAGATGCGCTCAAAGGAGGTAGGTTTCTCAAGTGTCAAAGTAGAGGCTTTGGATTAAAAGAAATGACGTATCTGTAGATAAATATAATAT